AACGGAGGCGATCGCTGGTGACTTCGTCCAGTTCATGTAGAAGTAGTCCGAGGAGAGATGTCAGGGTTACTTTAAGCCAGGAACCCCAGTCTGCAGTACGAAGTAGTGGCTCTCAAATGACTGACGACGAACGCATTGACCCCACTCGGGGCTTCGGGGAGAAAGAAGCGCGAGTTTGAACCGGCGGCGCTCAGCTGCTGCCTGTCAGCTGAAGTAATAAAGCCTCTTTATGGTGTGTTCGTGCGCCAGGGTGTTGCCGAGTCGCTGGCTTCTTTTGTCGAATCCTCGAAAACAGTCTCGCTTTTCCATCGTTTAGGCAAGGAAATAGACCGACTAATAAGTTTAGAGTTGAATAAGCGGAAAGCTGGAATAACTCACTTTTGGTTCTTCTGCCTTCTTCCAGGTCTGTGTTCTTTTGGTTACTCTCCACTCACTCTCTTAGATTTGTTTTCGTTGAATTATTTGTGGGCAACCAGCAATAAAGGTAGCTAGTTGATGACCAACCAGTTCAGATTGCTTCTACTATTTTGCTCAAAAATTTCCATGTCTTAAAAACTTGCTTTTATTGGCGTTGGCATTTGCCGTTAGTTTTTGAAGCCAAAAACTCTAGAAGTGGTATTTAACTGCTTTATAATGTTGTAAATTTTAATGTGTGTCTTCTCCACAGATGGATGTCCATGGCAGAATAAGAGAAATTCTTGCCGAGACTATACGAGAAGAATTGGCACCTGACCAACAACATTTATCAACAGAAGATCTGATCAAAGCTCTTAGACGTCGAGGAATCATTGATGATGTAATGAAAGAACTTAATTTTGTGACTGTGAGTAATTTTCTAGGTAAACAAATTGAAAGTGTGAATATTTGCTTATGTCTAAATTTATAGGGTCCATACTTAGGGATCCTCTTTTGTAAATCCACTGTAAGTTCAGTCTGTCTAGTGATAGCCATTTTTCTTAGGGTTTTGTTTTTTTGTTTTTCGAGACAGGGTTTCTCTGTGTCCTGGCTCTGTAGACCAGACTTGTTTTATGTGTACGGTTGTGTTTTGCCTGCATGAGAGTTTGTGTACCACTTGCATGCTGGTTCCCTTGGTTTGGAAGGGTTTTGATCCCTTGTAAATGGAGTGAACCACCATCATGGTGTTGTGAATTGAACCCAGGTCCTCTGCAAGAGTAATAGGTGCTCTAAACCAGTGAGTCGCCTCTATAGCTCCTATAATATCCTTTCCTTGGGTCGATTTTGTTGTTGTTGCTTTTTTTTTTTTTTTTCCAGGCAGGGTTTCTTTGACTTGCTCTGTAGGTCAGACGGGCCTTGAACTCAGAGATCCTGATCCTACCTGTCTGCCTTCTGAGTGCTGGGCTTAAAGGCATGTGCCACCACCTTGGCCGGGCTCCTTTTCTGTGGTTTTAAGTTGGCCCCACCATGAGTTAGCAGATAGTGCTGATGAGATGGGAGATATACACCATCTTTCTCTGAAGTGTCAGAAACCCCTCCTGTTATTCTGTAGAGTTGTCATTTAGTTAGGCCTATTTTTAAAAGCAAATACACTTAGAAAATTCCTTAAGAACTGACTTCGTAAACCCCTCAGATCTCTGTACAAATAGGTCAGTAGTGGGCTGTCTCCTGCCTGGTACACTCAGTAAGTAGGCCTTATATTGAAAATGAGGTGATAATGAAGAACTGTGACCTCAATACAGGAATACTCTATTAAAAATAGGATGGACTAGTACCCTAGAGACCTGAGTACTTTAATATGCTTTATCTTTTGGGTTTTGAGAGTTGTTATAAAAACTGACCTATTAACAGCCTCTGCTTCATGCATGTTACTTTTTATGTTTTTGTTTTGTTTTTCAAGACAGGGTTGCTCTGTAATTCTGACTGTCCTTGAGCTTTCGATGTAGACTAGGCTGGCTTTGATGTCAAGAGATTCTCCTGCTTCTGCCTTTCAAGTCCTGGCATTAAAGGTATGTGCCACCACTAGGTGGCCGAATGTTACTTTTTAAAAATCAGTTCATGGTGGAATGTTTTGTTGTTGTTTTTGAGATAGGGTCTCATTATATAGTTCTGACTGTCCTGGAACCCACTATGTAGACAAGGCTGGCATTGAACTCACAGAGATCTGCCTATCTCTACCTCTTTAGTTTGGGGAGTAAAGAAAGGCACATGCCACTATGCCCAGAAGCCAAATGTTATATAGGGTTTAAAGGAAGTTTAGCAATGTTTAAGGTATAGGTTTGCTTTTAAGGCCAGGCTTGGTGGTGCACACCTTTAGTTTCAGGATTTGGGAGGTGGACAGACAGATCTCTATGAGTTGGAGGCCAGTCTGGTCTGCATAGCAACCTCCAGGACGGCCAGGGCTATATAGAAAAACTCGTCTCAACAACAACAAAAACTTTTTAAAAAAAAATTGTGGATGGCAAGAATTAAAAACAGTTGAATCCCTTCATATTAGACTTTTACGAGTTCCATCTCTCATGAAGCTATGTATTTTCATTTTAATTAGGCTAGGAAAATAAAGCCTTTTTTTTTTTAAGATTTTATTTATTTATTTTGTATATGGTCTTCTGCCTGCATGCCAGCAGAGGGCACCAGATCTCATTCAAGGTGGTTGTGAGCCACCATGTGGTTGTTGGGAATTGAACTCAGGACCTCTGGAAGAACAGTCTGTGCTCTTAACGGCTGAGCCATTTCTCAAGTCCTAGAATTTTTCTCTTTCCCCCCTCCTCCCAGGCAGGGTTTCTCTGTGGCTTTGGAGGCTGTCCTGGAACTACCTCTTGTAGACCAGGCTGGTCTCGAACTCACAGAGATCCCCCTGCCTCTGCCTACTGAGTGCTGGGATTAAAGGTGTGGGCCACCATCACCCCCAGGCTGAATTTTTATTTTCTAATTTGTATTTTTCCCTACTTTTCTAGGACAGTGTTGATCAAGAACTCCCTTCTCCAAAGCAAATTGTTGCTTTTGATAAGCAGTCAACATTAAAAAAAAGTATGTATATACATATATATTTTTAACATAAACTTGGTTGTGATTGGTAATGGACATGTCATAGTGTTTGGCATTTGATAGAAATTCTTTTCAAAATGAAGTACTTAAAATTTGTCATTAGTTAACCTAAAACTTAGATGCAGTTTTGCGTGAAATATATGATATACTATATAGTACTGTTGGGCCAAAATTGGGAGCATTGTTTTCTTTTTCTTTTATTTTCTTTTATTTATTTATTATGTATACAGTCTTCTGCCTGCATGCAGGCAGGCGGCACCAGATCTCATTCAAGGCGGTTGTGAGCCACCATGTGGTTGCTGGGAATTGAACTTAGGACCTCTGGAAGAACAGTCAGTGCTCTTAACCGCTGAGTCATCTCTCCAGCCCGGGAGCATTGTTTTCTTATGTCTTAATGATAGATACATTTTATAAAAACTGGTGGTACAACACCTTTAATCCCAGTACTTGGGAGGCAGAGTTCAAGGTCAGTCTGGTCTACATATTGTGTTCCAGAACAGCCAGGAATACACAGAGAGACCCTGTCCTAAAAACAAAGAAAGAAAACTGTATGTGCTTGCTATTTTAATATAGTAAAATAATTAGATAAATATAGTTACTAAGTTGATAATGATCTGAGTTGGCTTGTGGAGGTGATAATATGCTTTACAAACAGCTAAAAATCAAAGTTACACCTAACCTTTGCATTGATTCTCTCAAACATAGTGAGACTGTGAATTCACTAAAGAATATCATATCATAGCTCTCTCCTTGCCATAACACAGATGATTCTGCAACATAGTAAATTGGGTGATTCATCTATTTATTTATTTGTTTATTTTAGTCAAAGTATTTCTATCAAGTCGTTTCTAATGTCTTGATCACATTTAATCAGTTATTTGGCAGTTTCCTCATATGTTGCTACACTTTGCAGCTAATATTGATCCAACACGAAGGTATCTTTACCTTCAGGTTTTGGGTGGAAAAGCTTTCTTGGAACATCTGCAAGAACCTGAGCCTTTACCAGGACAAGTTTGTTCAACTTTTACTTTATGTTTACATTATCGGAATCAACGTTTTCGCTCAAAACCTGTTCCATGTGCTTGTGAACCAGATTTCCATGACGGCTTTTTGCTTGAAGTTCACAGAGAAAGTTCAGGTAAGAATATGTAATGATACCTAATTAAGTTTGTTTGGTTTTTATTGAAAAACACCCTCCACAGCTTCTGCGATAGAGATTATAAACCCGGCCTAGTGGCTCAGCTTCTAATTCCAGCACTCAGGGAACAGAGGCAGTCAGATCTCTTGAGTTCCATAGTGAGAACTTGTGGGGTCGGGGAAGAGAGAGATTGATTACAGTAAATGAGTATCTCTAGTTTTCTTCTCCAGTGCTATTTT